GTTTCTGCCAGTAATCAGTTTTACAGTTTGACTGCCTTGTGTTGAGGACACTGGCCTAGAGTGCGCCCTTCAGCAGAGCAGGAAGTTTAATTGAGACCTTCCATTTCTTGTACATACACATCACACACAGATAGGAACCACCAGGATCATTCTTAAAGTTTAGCTCTGAAAACTATTCAAACACACTCTGTGCCTGATTCAAACCTAGGATGTGAATGGAGATTTCATGACTACTGCTAACTGTACTGTATGCTGCTGTGCCCTCTCCCCAGCACACCGCATTCTCCAAGAGCTGACTGCTTCCGTCTTTCCTTTAGCACTGTTCCGTTGCATATAAAATACTTCCATACTGTGAGCAATAGCATGCTATAACTTCCTGTTTTGGGTAATCTATTACATGACAGACACTTGAGTTCTAGTTCTTATTCCAGACATTAAAAACAGTATTGATATGAGAGAGAGAGAGAGAGTGCTGTGCCCCTGAATACTCACTGTGCCAGTTTTACTTATTATGGAAATTTACAGATATTCTGGGTTAAAATTTCCTCAGAGGAGGTAAAAGAACCCGTCTCTATTTTACTTCTAGGTAGAAGGGGAGAAATCATCACTGCTATTTGTGATTCTAGCCCATTGCCCTAAGAAGATATTTCCATCTAATCTATTCAGCATACAAATTAATAAATCTAGGTTCATCAGAAATGTATTGGAGTGAATACTATACCAACTGCTGCACATTTCACTACTGATTCTCTTTATCTGAAAGAAAATTTAAGAAATATTGTAATTTACATGTAAAAAGTAGACCTATTCTCAGAGGAACTGGATTTCCCATCTTTTATAAACAGTAGCATGGCACATGGTATGAAGTGGTTTATAGACTTAATCAAACGATGCATGCAAACAAAGGTTTTCAACACGCATACGCTTTTGCAGAGCATGACGTGAGCATCTTAATGCTGCAGTGTTCTTGGTAACGACTGTTCTGTCTATACGTAAAAACTGAGTTTCAAGGTTGCAGACTTTTTGAATTAGTACTGTCTTTCTGCATGTTTATGACACTTACCCAAGAAGCCTGAGGCTTGATCATCTCCGTATGCCCTGAGAATTCAAGTAATAATAAAATATAGAACACTACTTTCTGTTCTACATTATTTTATCAAGATTTTTGTATAGTTTATAGATAACAGACAATCCATACATAAACGTTTCCTCAGAAGAAGACTATGTGTACATTGTAAGAGTTACTTTTACAATATATTTTTTCTACAATTAAAACTTCAGTGAGATTCTAGGGGAATTCTTACTCTAGACAGGAAGGCATGTCCTTACTTATATGGGTTCTGTGGGAAAATAGAAGGCATAATTATAGCGATATTTCAGTCATCTGAGATGTAGGGTAGACACTATGGTATTTAGCTGTTCTCACACACACACATCCTTTAGTTATATGCGGTAAGATGATTTACTCCCCCAGCTTCAGGCCTCTAGCCCTTACTTACTGTAACACATTCCCACCTCTTTCAAGTGTATCACACTCAGCTTACAAGCGAGAAAGCTTATCTCCACAAAGCTGCACATGCAAAAGAACTAATTTATTCTGTGCATTTTTAAAGTTGCTTCTATGGCAATTACAATATGCAAAGCTCTCATAAAAAAACTAGCACGAGTGAAGTCAATAGGCTTCTACAGAAATTTCTTTTGAATGTTTTTATACAGTTTTAGGAGAGATCCCTGTTATAAAATTGAACAGATTGATTTTAAAATCCTAAATAATAATTATAAAACTAAAAATAATACTCTCAGGTAAGTTTTGTGGGTTTTCATAGCCTTTATTTGTACAGAATATCATTAAATTCATCTTCAACAACCTCTATGGGACATTTTTATCAGTGTACTTGCTTACTTTGCCTAATTCCACTCTTCAATGTACAGTATTTTTCTAATGCAATCGCAGTTCAAAAGATATGAAAGAAATGTTAATTGAGGTAGATTATGCCGCTATACACCCTGTCTCAGCAAAAAGGTTTAAAAGTGCACTGTCTCCCAGTGAAATAGGCAGAAAGCAGTTCAGTGCTGGCTCATAAGGGGTGATATAATGAAAAATTGCTTTTACTTTATTGGCAACACATGATAAGGTAGACATTATTGGTGGCTCCCTCCAGGCCTCCCTCCTCCAGTACTGGTAATCCCTTTGTTGTTCTGGTGTTAACTTGCAAACCGATTGTGACTTGGGTTGAGGAAAAAATAAACAAATAAATAAAATGGTTTGAACAGAACTGGAAAAGGGCTCAGAGCAGACAAGGACAAACAGACAGACACCGAGCTAAAAACAACATCTCAGCTGAATCTATTGGCTGGCTACAAATCTGTACAGCTGTTTCACAGAAGTTCTGAAAAGAGAAGTGCAATATACCTTAATTTGCATTGGATGGCTGACTCTGTTTTAAAATATACACTTGCAATACTTGTATTACACTTGGTTTTTTATTACTTGTATATACTTGTATTACAGATACGCACTTGTAATAAATGAGAACAGGTAAATGACAGCCTAAGTTTGTATTGACTTGTTTGTTTCTCCTGACAAGGAAAAATCTTGCCTCAGGAGTTCAAATTCTTCTTGGCTGAGCAAGTATAACTGTAACTACATTGATGTAGAAACAGGTTTAGTATTTGTCTATACACAGAACTCAAGTCAACATGATATAACAGTTCTATTAAGTGACACACTTATTTTGGTCCAAATCATGATAATGTTAGACTAACTTCAATTTAAGATACTGTATCAATTTAGTGTTCAGTTATCCATGCACATAATTTAAATATTTCTTCTAAACTACGTTACCTAATTAGTACGAATTTCCTATTTTTACACCACCTCTAAAAGCAAGATATATATTCTACTAAAAAAAAGAGGTGCTCTTAAATAATTCATATATAAAACTTAAATTTGTCTCTTTGTTAATCCTATCAATGACAATGAAAAACCATCCAGTGTAATTCCTTTTAATTAAATCACATTAATTCACTTTAAACTGACATCCAGGATCAAGACAAATCTTAAATCGAGTGACTGCATATTGCCATAAATCCTCGTTCTTTTGCTCTCCGCAGTTGTGTCAACTCAATTCATAGTGTGTCCAGAGCAGATCGCATTTATTGGTCTCCCAGAAATCTAGCCTAGAGCAACAAAAAGGAGGAAAAAGAAGTGAAGAGGCTGGTGAACTAAACGAGAATAGTGAAGGACAGAAAACTGGCTGCTGGCCAAGTAAATCTGCATAAATTTGGGGAAATTCTTGCTTATATGTTTTGCTATAAAGATAAGGAACTTTGGAAATGAATGTTTTTAGAATGAACTTTTAAACTGTATTTTTCAAATATTTTTCTTTCCTGGAAGATTTTTTTTTAGTGGTTCTTTTTATAGCAAACAAGTACTTGTTCTACCAGCTGCCTATTATTAAAAAACCAGCAAGCTTATTTCTTGCTTTTGTTATTCATCTAGGATCTGAAAGGACGTATATAACTTACTTGGCAGCTGGTCTGTTTCAACACGAATTTGAGATTCAGATATGATATGCCTCCTTACAAGTTCCGGTCACCTTCGTGATTATACCCAGTTTCAATTTGCATGAATTCATGCAGTTTGAACTGCAAAAATAAACTATCCCAGCTTGTTTAAAGGCGAGTAGAAGGAAGGGCCGATGGGATGTATCATTTGGTTTTGGTTTGGGGGAGAAGTGGCATTTTTCTAATTTAACTTGTGGAAAAATCAAGCGGTGGTGAGCGATGAGGAAATTAAATGTGGTGTGATATCTGATATAGGAAGGTACATCACTAAGAAGAAATAAAGTCAGCTATATCATCAGAGAACGACGTGGCAGCTCTGGTGCGTGGCCACGCGCTTAGAAATCTTCGTTTCTACGGGCAGCGGACGTGCAGACGACCATCCCTGCCGGAGGAGACCGCGCGCCTTGGGCGGCCGCTTCCCCAGGTGTCCGTGGAGCAGTCCCTCCGCCCTGGACGCCCGCTCGGAGACGCAGGGCGACAGGCGCACCGCCACATTCGCCAAGCACGGCCGGCGCGGGGCAAAAAGCGGACTGATGCGGGATCTTCCTCAGCTGACCTCCAAACACAAGTATTTTGCTGGGCCTGCTCAGCCTGGAGAGGGCTCGGGGGGGACCTGATCCATGTGGACAAGTATGGGAAGGGAGGGTGTCAAGAGGATGGGGCCAGACTCTGCTCCGCGATGCCCAGCGACAGGACGAGAGGCAACGGGCACAAACTGAAACACAGGCAGTTCCGTCTGAACATGAGGAAAAACTTCTTCGCTGTGAGGGGGACCTCACTGGCACAGGTTGCCCAGAGAGGCGGTGGAGTCTCCTGCCCTGGAGATATCCAAAAGCTGTCTGGACGTGGTCATGGGTGAGGTGCTCCAGGTGACCCTGCTTTGGGGAGGGGGGG